CTTGGTTTTCTTATATGAGTCTCAGGGATAGAAGTCAGGTTACAAACCCTGTAACCTGACTTTTGTACTATTTGGTGGCCATTCCTACCGATTTTAAATGTTTTTCTTTTTCTGTAAAGATCACAGAAGGCTAAGGGAATAGCTTAATTGGTAAAGCACTTGTGTAGCAAGCATGAAAGACTGAATTCAGTCCCCAAAACCTAACAAAAAGAGATGAAATTTGAAAATCGGTTCTTCAATCATTGTCTCCCCTTTAAGGCTCTACGTGCACAAGAGGTCAGAAAGACTGTAAGAACCAGAGATAGATGACTCCAAAGAAACAGTGTCTTCCACACACAACATGACTTCTGCACATATGAACTCCCATACTAGCAGGGCACATCAGGCCCGTATATGTTCAATCTAGAGAGGGTCCCAGCTCTGAGAAGGGAAGTTGACATGGGCTTCCACCTCTGACCAAGAAGCTACCTGCAAGGAACGGAAAAATCCCCTCTTCCGGGAGTAGCTGACCAACACAAGATGCTCAGTGGTGTTTTCACAGACTTTTCCTATCATTTTGCTTTATTTGGACATTTTTTATTGTTGTTCTCTTGCTCATTCACTTTGATTTTCATTTTTCTGTTTTGTGGTTGTTGGGGTTTTTTTTGGTAAGTATGTTTCATGGTTTTTGTTGTTTTGTTTCTGTTTATTTCTTTTTTTATATTTGTTTTTTTATTTCCTTGTTTTTAAAGAGAAAAGGAACATGAAGTTGGGTAGGTAGGGAAGTAGCGGGAGGAACTGGAGGAGGAGGAAACACATTCAAAGTATATTGGAAGAAAACAAGTTTTCAATAAAAAAGTTTTAAAAAAACAAAAACCTAGGTGTAGAGGTATGTGCTTGCAACCCCAGTGCAAGGAAGGCAGAGAAGGCAGGGAAGGCAGGCCCCAGGGCTCACTGACCAGCAAGCCTAGCTGCTCAGTGAGTCCCAGGCCAGGAAAAGACCCCAAAGCAGGTGGAAAGATACTTGAGATTGTCCTTTGTAATCCACACACACACACACACACACACACACACACACACACACACACACATACACCACAGCATGCACTCAAATACAATGTCATTGGTATCTTCATAGAAATTTCATTGATACTGTTGATCTCTATATGTGGTATGAACTTGTAGGCAATATCAATGCTTCCTGTTCACAAGAACAGGCTGTTTCTCTCTGTGTGTCTTGTTCTCTGTCTTCCTCTCTCTCTCTCTCTCTCTCTCTCTCTCTCTCTCTCTCTCTCTCTCTCTCTGTGTGTGTGTGTGTATAATTCCTTATCAGTGTTTTGTGATTTTCGTTGTATAATCACTTCCCTGTTCAAATTTCTTCAAGGCATTTTGTTTTGTTTTTGTTGTTGTAAATGAAATTGCTTTCTTGACTTGTCTCTCAAGAATTTCATAACTAGAGCCGGGCATTGGTGGCGCACACCTTTAAACCCATCACTCAGGAGGCAGAGGCAGGTGAATCTCTGTGAGTTCTAGGCCAGCCTGGTCTATAGAGTGAGTTCTAGGACAGCCTCCATACCCAGTCTCGAAAAACCAAAAAAAAAAAATTCATAACTGAAACACAAAAAAGCTATTGTTTTTTTGTATATTGATTTTATATTCCACAAATCTGCTACATGCATTTATCAGTTTTAATGGTTTACAAATGTAGTCTTGCAGTTCTGTCTATAATAATGCCATCATCGGAATAAACTGGCCTCTTTCTTCCCAAACTATATGAGTACCATTTCTTTGTCTTGCCTTGTTGGCTAACACTGTACAAACATGATCCTGAATAAACTTTGTGAAAGTGGATCTTACTCTTAGGGGAGGGTTTCCCCAGGGTGGTTTCAAACTAGATGCTTAGCTGAGGATGACATTGACCGTAAGCTTCTGATCTTCCTGCTTCTACCTACAATTATAAGAGTTACCACCATACTCATTTGATGAGGAGCTGAGAATTTAACCCAGAGCTCTGCTCACACCAATCAGGCTCTACCACTGAGCCGCACATACAGCCTCAAAATGAATATTCTTGCCTTGTTCCAGGCTTAGAGAAACAGTGGCAGCTTCCCCCATTCAGCACGATGTTGACTGAGTGTTGTGTAACAGTGTCCTTTGAGACCGAAATAGCTTCTTAATCAGGAAAGTAAACAATGCAAAACAGCTTCAGGAAGTCCCTGAAACTAACCAGGTTCGCCAGGCCCCTCCCTGCCGGAGTAAGCGGTAGAAGCTGAGCATCCCTTTGAGACTAGGAGAGCCGGGCTGCTAAGAAGACTCCCAGACAAGCTTGGAAAAAAGAGGCTGGGAGCAGACCAGCTGCCTGGAAGCGCTTTAGCCCAACCGAGTCAACTGGAAAGGACTCTCCAACCTGTTGAGCTGCCTGCGGACAGTGGAATGTGGCCCGGGTTTCCAGGTTTGTGAGCTGTCTGGCACACGTGCTGGGGTGGGCTTTGGTGATGCTGCTGTCTTTGAGTCATTTCTGCTCCTGCGAGAAACCCCTCACCCATACTCCTGTAAGTAACTCCAATAAAAGTCATGGTTCACCAAGCTGGACTTCGTGTCATCTATTCTTTGGTCTGCCTTAGTCTCTGTATCTGGGTGGAGTGTGTAGCATCTCCCCAGGAAAAGTTTGCCCCTCCACACTGAGATGCTCACCTATGCTGTTAACTAGGTATTTAGTAAGAACACTTAGTCTGGTGTGTTACCTTCAGCACCTGAAGGGGACCCCAGTGCAGTGGGGACTCCCTCCAGGACCCCAGATTAGGCACAAACCACCCCCAAACACCAGCTTTCACAGAAAGATCCTTTATTGAGCAGGGAAGAGAAGTTAAAGATGGGTGCATTCTGTTGAGGCAGAAAGACAGCAGCAAACGACCTTGCCAGGGTAATTGTTAAGAGGAGGAAATGGGAGGTCTGTGTCAGGATGGACTAGGATGCCTGGGAGTAGAGGCTAGGGGTGAAGGGGAAGGGACAAGAGAAAGGGTTCAGGGATATTTGTCCTAGAGGGACAAAGGGCAGCCTCTGGATAGACAGGAGACAGTCATATTTATAAAGGTAAAGGGGGAAACCCCTTGTTAGGATAAGGCATTTAATTCTGATTGGGCATGTTAATTAGGTGAACCAAAGGGGGCTTCTGATTGCTGGACTTTGGTGGTCAGCCTCAGGAGAAGGAAGTGCTCAAATAAGGAAAAAGTCCGTGGTGGCTAACTTCAGGACCATAACCTAAGTTTTTTAGCAAGGTGGAGGTGATGGTAGCTCACCACTTGAGTTGGCCCAAGTCCCTTGTAACAAAGAAAAATAGGCACAAATACTAAGGAAGAAAATCGTCAGGAATGGACAGCAACAAGCCAGGTGAGTGGTACAGACTGTGACCCTGCACGAAAGAGACCAAGAGGCAAGAGGGTCAGAAGTTCAAGGTCAGCATAGGCTGTACAAGTTCAAGGCTAACCTGGTCAAACAGGAAGACCCAGTCTTAAACAAAGCAAGCAAGCAAAGGTGAGACTGAGATCCCCGCAGGGCTCATGGTAAAGCCTTTCCCTCAGGAATACAGATGTGGGCAAGTGCTGCATCCATCTAGGACAAGGGTGACTGATGGATCCAGGGCTCAACCCAAGCCCTGAGTTGGAAGATAAATTCATCCTGCTGGCTGCCCAGGCTTGTATAGGAATGTGAGTCCATGCGGATGCATTTCTAAAGACAGGATGGCCATGACCTCTCTAAACTTAATCATGCTTTATACTAGCATGGGGCTCAGGCGGCTCCCATGGCAGCCTCCCCCGTGGAATCCGATGTCTGTTGCAGGACTCTGGTCTGTCACTGCTCTTCCTCCTGCACCCCTGGAGCGCGACAGGGGCCTGACTCATAACACAAACTCAGTAAACACATAGCTGACCAGAAACAGTACTGCTTCCTGGCTTCAAGCACCGGGACTCTTCAAACCTGCTTACTGAAGATCTTCCCCTTTAGGTCTGTAATCCACAGGACAATGTCTTTCCTCTGCAAGCAGCCCAAGGCCCAGCCGGCTTTGTGTGGGCAGGCAGCACAGTGGGGTCTCCAGCTCCCCCTGCCCTGCCCCGCCCCCACTGCTTTATTTCATTTCATTTTTTCAGAGATACTACCAAAGAGGATTAGCCCTGTTCCAGGGTTTTGATGCACTGTTGTGCATTCCACAGGGCGCTCAGGTTACATTCAGAGGTGGGGCTTATTCCTGGGCCAAACTAAGTGTGAGCTCCTGTCTGGAGATGGGGGAGGAGAGGAGAATAGCAAACAAATCAGGCCACGAGCCAGCCTTCTTGGCAGGACTCAGAAGGAGCAGAAGAGCACGCACGTTGGCATTCATGCACGCTCACAAGAAAGCACACCCCCACACACACACACACACACTTCCACTGGCAAAAGCACACACTCGTAGGCCTGTTGGTACACACACGTGCACACACATGTCCACTTACGTGTTCATACTCAACAAGCGCATGCACGCGTCAGGGGAAAGTGGCATTTATAGTGCGCCAGATCCTGTGTTATGCCTTATATGCCATGTCACTCATGTTTCTGGCTGCCCTTTAGGGCACATGTGACCGAATACTCTGCAGTCACACAAACGGAGGCTTCAGCTCCAGTTCTGACACTGTGACGGCCAGCTCGGGCTGGGCCAGCTCTCCCACCTGGCTTCCTTCCCGCCAGCTCTGATGTCTTGCGCTGTCTAAGGCAAACTTCTTGCCATGCTTTAAGGTGCCCAGCCCGTTCTCCTGATAAACATAAAGATCTCTGGCTAAAGGCTGGCAAGACGACTTTGCTTTCTGCCAAGTCTGACAACCAAAGTTCAAATCCCAAGACCCCCACACAAGAGAAAGAACCAATGACCACAGATTATCCTATGACCTCTAACACACACAGTGGTACATGTATACACATACACACACACACAAAATAAATAAATAAATAAATTACTAAATAAATAAATAGAATAAAAACAGGAAGAATTCGTGAAGTCTTGTCTATAATGTCATGAATGTAAAGACACTTCACCGGACTCAGGTGTCTGCACTTTTCTGTGTTTCTAATCTCGACTGTGACATTTCAAAACTTCCTCGGAATTTGGCACAGCTGAGATGAGGATGCTACTGGGTAGGCAGTAAGCCTTGAGGCCAATGGCTACCACGTAGAGGATGCACAACCGCAGAAACTTAAACAGTGTCCTGGTCTCCAAACTTGGCTCTTTGTATTTATGAAACTCTTGAAGATAAAAGAGTTAATTGTCAAGCAGAGTCTTCTAAGTTGGCTAAGCCTGCTCGGAGCCTGAATCTTCTAGTATACAGACCTTCGGTGCCTGGAGACAATCAGACATCAGACAGTGTTTCATTCTCCCCTAAGTGATAGCCATAGCTAATGCCAGGGAGGGATGCATTCCATGCCACAGCTGCCAGGGACTAGGAAAACTCTTTCTGCTCGACATCACCTTTAAAAAAACAGAAATGTCTCAGGCGTGCAGCGTGGGGAAGAACGGAGGGAAGACTTGCCCTAGCTTCCAAAGCAATGGGGTGACTAGCCCCATTTTCCCCAGACACGGCAGCCAGAACGTGCTTCTGGCCCCCTAGCCTGGGTGGCCACAGAGGGTGCTCTCAGATTGGAGAAAGTTCTTAGCCTGGGCTGGTGGTCCCAAGTTCTAGAAAAAAGCAGGAACAAGCCTGTATGTAAGCAGCCTCCTCCTTGGTGTCTGCATCAGCCCCTGCCTCCCTCCACCTTGGTTTAAGTTCCTGCCTTGGCTTCCCTCAGTGAGCTATGATTCAGGGTATGTAAACCAAATAAATCATCTCTTCCCCAAGCTGCTTTTGGCCAGTGTTTCATCACAGCTATAGGAACCTTAACTGAGACAGCACTGAACGGAGGAAGAAAGGCATTGGTGAAGGTCTTATTCTCCTTCCTGCCTTTGCCTCCTCCCATTTTCCTTTTTGTGGGTTGTTGATGTTCTTTAGAAAAGAAAGAAGAAAGAGGGAGGGAGAGAAGGAGGGAAGGAGGGAGGGAGGGAGGGAGGGAGGAGGAAAAGGTGACTTACCAACAAAAGGAACAGAAGGCTCCATTTTGTGTTCCACAGGAGGCCAAGCCCAGTCAGTGATGGACAGCCTAAAGGTTAGAGGTTGTGCCGGGACCACGATCGTGTTTAGTTGCTGTGAGGATTCTTAGGTACCTCTCTCTACACAGTGGCTTCTCCCCTCACAGAACTGGAGAGCGGCTTCATATTTCCATATGAGGCATTGTGACACACCCCTGTAATCCTAACAACCAGGAAGCTGAGGCTCTGCAGCCAGGCAGAGCTGGTGTAGGTGCTCCTGCAGCCACCCTGCCCTGAACCTCTCCTTCCCACTCTGTCCTCAGCTACGAAGTGAGCAAATAGGCCAGGCCTGGAAAGTTTCTGGCGGCCATTCCCAACCATGTCCAGTGCAAACCAAGGCTTCGGTAATGAGCTTCCCTGTGATGGCTGAGATGGTGTCTGAAAGGGTCAAGGAGCGTGGGGAGATGGGTATTTTCAGACCTTAGACTCACACGGCAGTGGTTTCCATGTGAATCCAAAACGGGAACTTGCTCAGTTTCTCTATCACTTTCTGTGGCTCTGAATGTGGTTTTCGTTCCCTCCTTCACCCTCCCACTTCTCTTGAAACCCTCTCACCCACGCCTTGTCACACTCTGTCTGCGCCTTAAAACCTCCATGGCCTTTAGACCTTCCCATGGCTATATTGTGTGAGGTCCACATCCAGCATCAGGACCCTCACAACACTGCTAGGAGGTAGGCATGAAGAGGGTTCCTCGCATGTGAGGGCCCTGGGTGTTTGTCGGAGTCACTGCCTTTCCAGTCTGTGTCTAATGCCCAGGGGGCTAGCTTCCATGGTTGAAGACTAAGGTGTGTTTCGAAAGCGTCAACTCACTGGTTCTGCCAAGGCTGCCTTCTCAGAACACCTTCTGTGTCTCCTTGATATCTGATGACATCCCATCAGCTTTTGGAGCACTTTCAGTGATTTAAATGTCAATTACAAAGTGAATGAACTCTTGGCTCCTGCAGGGAGGAGGGTAGGTGGGATAGGTGCTCTCGACCACACACACTAGGCTGAGTCACTTAAAACGTAGTAAGACACACTTCTGGGTGTGTCTATGAGGGTGTCCAGGACGACTGGCATATGCGCCAGTGAAACTGAGTGCGGAGGACCACCCTGAACATGGGTAGCTCCATCCCCATGGGCTGGGAGCTGGATGGGAAGAAAGGGCTGTGTGGGAACCTCACTCATGTGTACCCTCAAGACTCCTTGAGCAAGTGCAGTTTTATTTTGTTAGGTATTTGCTGCTGACACTGACTGTGGGCATTAGAGTCCAGCTCTTCCACCGTTGAAGGTGGGCTTAAACCAGGAAGTCTCCAAGGGCCTCCCAGGCCTTCGACTTGGTCTGAAGCTGTTCTGATGTTTGTCTATAGCCCAAACTCACCAGCATGTCTTCCAGGCTACACTGCCCACAACCCACCTCCTCCCTAACCCTCTTAAGGAGCCATGGGCTAGTGGGAAAGTGCCTCTTCAGTGACCCTCAGCAAGTGGCTAGAATGGATCAGGACTTCGGGGTTCCAACACAGACCACAAGCCCCTGACTGTTAGAATCATTTCTGTTACTGAAACCACAAGCCACAATTTATAAAAAGCCACAATTTATAAAGACAATGACTACGCAACTTATATTATAAAGACAGAAGCTCAGGGACAGGTATCACATCTGCAGGCAGCTCAGCAGGTTGGCGAGTGTCCTTCCCAGGTGACTCAGTTGGTCTAAACCTCTTCCAGGCAGCTTGGTTGGTTCTGCTTCTTCCAGGCAGCTGCTCTGGTCTTGGCATCTTGGTTGTAGCTCTGTCCCTCTAGTCTCAGAGTAACAGTCCTCTTTTATTGCTTACTTGGGCAGGGAAGGCTTAGTGAATCTGGTTAGTTTCAGGAACTTCCTGAAGCTCCTTTGAATTGTCTACCTTCCTGTTTAAGGAGGTCCCCTGCAGGATGGGATGTTCCAGTCTCAGAGGAAACTGCTACCCTACATAAGGCCACACAATCTCATTGTATCAAATGCTCTTAAAGGGGAATTCAAGCTTAATCACCTCCCAAAGCTGCCTTCTCCAAACACTGTGGCAGAATAACTTTCCATCGTTTTAATACTACAAAGTGCACTTATTTTCAAGGTGAGATTTTCTTTGGTTTAGGTTGAGATAGGGTCTTGCTCTGTAGCCTTGGCTGGCCTTCTGGTTTTTGCCTCCCTGGAGCTGGGAATACAGGCCTACACCACCATACCCAGTTCAGAGTGAGTTTTGATGGGGACATTCAGACCACAGCGCTGGTTCCTCGGGGACACTGACCATACACTTTAGTGGATCTGCCACTCTTCAGCCTTGGAGGAAGCCTCCCCTGCTGAGGCATTGTGGGGGGTGGGAGTGGAGTTCTTTTGTGTTCTAGGTAGGGGGTGGGACCAGATGTAGATCAGCAGGACATGCCCCTGTTATGTTGGTCCTTAAGAGAGACTTCCTGCCACTCTCAGCATCTAGGAAACAACCCTCCCCAGTCATCAGAAGCCCAGGTGACTACAAGGACAAGGAGCAAGACAGCCAAAGCCAGAGCCCCACGCTAGGGGGTCTCTCTTTTGATGTCAGGGGCAGGAAAAACAACTGAGATTTTGCAACCAGGCTTCAGCATGCGTGGTGTCCTTTAACAACTGGGAAGAAGAATTTGGTATTAAAGCTCAGCCCCAGTTCAACCTGCCATGTTGCAGACTAAGCCTTGCTCTGCAGCGTCTAGTGTGTCCTGCTGGGAACTATGCAGGCTGGTATTTGGATTTTACCAGAGCAAACCATGTCGCTTGCTGAATCTTTAAACTGAGACACAGTTGACTCGTGTCCATCTTGTCTTCTGGTGTTGAAGAGTCACCTGAGGGGGGACCTGTTTGGCAGTTGGACTGTTCTGCTCCCTTTAATGTGGGGCTCTGGGGAAATGTACGGGTGTATGAGGGAGGGTCTTGAGTCCCCTCCCACCCAGAGGAGAGTCTGGCTTCCTGTTGCCTCAGCTAGCATGTCCTACAGGTGGCTCTGCAGCTGGGTAATCACAGTTCAGCTGCTGGTTTCACAACAGCTGGCTCAGGTCCCCTGGGCTGCCGAGTCAGCCTTCTTTCCTGGCACTCCTGGGGCCTCTGCCCTTGCCCTGCTCCTTATAGCCCTCTAGCCAGGCCAGAAGCCTCAGCTAGAGGATCTGTGCTCTCAGCTCAACCCTACAGGTACCAGACCTGCATAGGGCTGTGTCGTCCTAGCCATGGGGCTCTCAACACTGGTCCACGCACTGAATGATGGGGTGTGTCTTGCTCTGGTTCCCACCACCCCTGGCACTCTCTGACCCGTTGATCTCAAGGGAGTCACTCGTCACAATGGTTGGGCACTGCTCAAGAGGGGCTACACCAAGCCCCAAGGGGAGTAGGCCAGAGTCTTCAGTTCACAGCTCTCAGAACTCACTGTCACCCCTGCTTCTCCCTTGCAGTCCCTCAGGGACCAGGAGAAGTGGTCCTTCCCTCATTTGGGGTAAGTGGAGTGGGAGGGGTTACATCCTCATGTGACCTGAGTAGAGACCTCAGAGATCTAGACATGGAATAAGGACACCTCCCCGCATGCATCTTACAGGAAGAAGAGATCCCAGAAATCCTTCCTCTACTCCAAGCCCCTGGTCTGCCCAGACCCCAAGGTGCAGCAGGAAGGAGCCAGCTGGCCCAGATGCGGGAGTTATGGGAGAATTCAGTGCCATGCTTTGATATTTGCTCCCTTTCAAATCTAGTCCGTGAAGACTTAGCGGCGTATAGTAAGCAGAGGAAAGCCTTACTTGCAAGTAAGATTAGCGTGAAATTTCCTGTGCCACTATTAAGATGATGAATGAGGCCACCCAAGAGGAGAGCAGTGAGGCAGCCTCACGGTTCTGCACAGGCGCCTGTAAGTACCTATGCAACAGAGCATGAACGTACGAGCTTGCTTGCTCCTGAGTGACGAGATCCCAAGAGCCTTTTCTTCATTTTTCTCACTGGGCATCGCAAGTATTCTAGGATTAGCCTGCTTTATTTTTAAATTGGCAGAGGGCAAGATATTTTAAAAAATTCCTCCCAAAATAGGTATTAAGGGCTGGAGAAATGGCTCAGTGGTTAAGAGCATATCTAGAAGACCTGAGTTCAATTCCCAATATCCATATCAGCTGGTTGGCAGTGACTGGCAACTCAAGTTCCAGGGGATCTAGTGCCCTGTTCTTGGCCTCTGCGGGGACCTGCACACAGGTGGCAGACACATACACACCTAAATTTAAAAACAAGAGAAAAAACTTTATTTTCAAATATATATTAAAATGTAAGAAAAGATCCTCTGTCCCATATGTCTGCAGGATTTGCTGGGACGGGGAGGGGAGGGAGGTGGTGGTGTTCGTTTGTTCAGAAGGTGGACTGGTTGGTTGGTTTTTTGAGATAGGTCTCTCTGTGTGACTCTGGCTAGCCTGGGACTCGAAATGTAAAACAGTCTAGTCTCTGCCTCCTGAGTGTTGGGAGTAAAGGTATATGCCACTAAGCCTGGCTTGTTTGTTTTTGAGACGGAGTATCACTATGTCGCTCTGGCTGGGCTGGGACTTGCTCTGTACCTCTACCTCACGAGTGCTGGGGGTTAAAGGTGAGCGCCCCCACGTCTGGCCAGTTTTGCAGTTTCCCCGTCAGAACTTGGGCTCCAGGGAAGAACTCACATCTGTTCTGGAGGACATGAAGGCTGGGATGCTTCTCCTTTCCTCCCTCTGACCCTCTTCTGCCCACCCATGGGCATACCGGAGGGCTCTGCTGCTCTGCATGGGGAGCAGAAGCGCCGCACATGCACATTCTCTGTCCACCCTGCGTTCCCTTTGCTCCGATGCCTTGTCCAGTTCCGGGCCACCTTTCTCAATCGCCTGCTCCCTACACCTTCAGTTTCTGTGTGTGGATACTGCTGGGAGGGACAACACCGTCAGGACTGGCAAGGACCCCAGGCTGTCCGACGGCCGTGCGTCTAAAAAGGAGCCCCACTGTCGGTGCCACCCACACTCTCACTGAGTCACACTGTGGGACCAATCCAACAAAACCCCAAAGTGCCACACAGAGGCCAGCGTGTGCCAGGGACCTGCCCGTGGTACAAAACAAGGCCAGCTGGCTCGGGACCTGGCTTTGGTTGGTCCAGTTTTCCCTCACTGCTCCCTTCCCTCCCGTTTGGAAGGGTAATGTACATTCTGTGACACTGCAGGTTGGCAGTATATGACCTGCTTTTTCATTTTGAATTTACAGGGGGTTACAGTTAAGAGATTACATGAGTCTCAGAAGAGACTTTGGACTTTTAAACAAATTTCAGACTGCTATAGACTATGGGAACTTTTGAAGTTTAGACAAATGCATTTCTGCATTATGGTCTGGCTACAAGCTTA